TGACTGGAGGTAATTTGTATCAGTAACGGTAACACCAGTAGTACATTGTACTTGGTAGCAGTTACCTAATAATAAAATACCAGTAAATATACAAGTACAAAGTTGCAATTGTTGTTTACCTGTTGGAGGAATCATCAAGATGTGTCTTAATAAAGAGAGAGAGTGAAAGAGGAGGAGGAGGAAAGCAATAAGAGACAGAGCTGCTGGTAGTTTAGATGTCTTCTCTCCTGATGTAGTATTGCCTGACTTGCTGTCTACTGCAGCTTTGAATGAGTGAGAGTGGTGGCCATTAGCTGGTCTACTGGAGGCAGCTTGACAGTAGTTCCACAGTCCAATACTTGATCTCCATTGAGAGACATCAATCATCTTGTACTATAGTATGGAGGACAATGAGAGAATTAAACTTATGGTGTAGCTATTTCAGTGATCACTTACACCACAATAAAGAAAGAGGGACTTTATACAAGCCGGGAAGCTGGAAGAAAGTGCAAAGTTAACAACTTTCACAAGTTTGAAAAGGAATAAGTTTTGCAGCAGCAGGTCAGATTAATTTCATATACCAGTATAAAGGATGGGTGTATATCCAGAGAACAAGAAAAGTGGGTGTATGTGTATCAATGAATTATATTCATAGATTATTATCAATGTCATGGGAACTAGGGATTGGGTATGAATTCCTCTACTACATTTCCATTACAAATTAATATATGTATTTTGACCAAATTTGGTAATAATGACAATAGCAGTAGGCCAGTGACTTATTTCCATAAGTTATGGTCCCAGTGAATACAGGTTCTATATACAGTCAAACCTCCGATAGCGGACAGTCCGAGAAGCGGACACACTCTCTAGAGCGGACAAACCTGCAGTCACCGATGAAAATAGCCCATCTTACTGTACATTAGCAACCTCCCAGAAGCGACCACCTCTAAACTCCGGACAGCGGACAGTTTTACAAGCACAAAGAAGCTTCTAAACATGTGATTTTACCTCTGTAAACGGACATTTCCGGAAATATAGAAAGCCACACCCTCAATATTAAAGTTAATAGTAATCATTAAATTAATAAGAACACTTAGAGCAGTTATTATAGTATAATAATGATGCTAGGCCTAGTATTTATAGATTATACAGTAGCTATAGCTTAATGCTTGACCTAAACCTGATCTCTGAAACAGGGGGAGGTCACAACACAACCTCTGAGAAGAGGACAACCTCTGAATAAAGGACAATAGCTGACTTCCCAAAGTGTCCGCTCTTCGGAGGTTTGCCTGTATCTGTATTGTATCGAGACCTATCAGTCATTACAAGGTGAATTCACAATATTGCATGTGCAACCATAAGTGCTACATAACAGAACAGAGTTTTATTCTTGCATTTACCATTGTATTATACAGCACTTATGGTTGCAAGACAGCATTTTGAATTGACCTTAAGAAATAAAATTACTATAATTGCTACTATTAATAGTATCAGTAATAGTGTTACTATTAATAGTATGAGGTACTTACTGTCTCCTTGAGTGAATTAAACTCGTCTCACTTGATCTCTATCAACTTTATAATCATTTACTTCTCAATTCCTTGATATTATAACCTTTTCATAAATTGCTGCAATATTAGCAAGAGTACAGTGAGTACTTACTCTGTGGCATCAGTCAAAGGGATGGTAGGCATTTTCACCATGTGTGAGCACGTGGTTATAGTATACGGATTCCGTTTCCCTTTGGTATTGTATCTACAGTCTCAATGGAATGCAGAGTCCACTCATAGATATAGGACTGTTGTGGACTGCAGTGAAGAAGTGAAATCAATCCCCTCTCTGCTCTCCATTTAGTGCCCACCTCTTATGAAATTTGATTGTCAACTGGACTACAATTAGTAGGTGAGTGGGTGGAGAACAATATCACATAATTAATGAACTTAATTAATTTAATACTTGTTAGGATGAAATTGATATAGATATAGATATTATTATTATTATTATTATTATTATTAAAACTTTACAGACTCTACAGACACACAATGACACAAAGAAACATGAAAGACTATAATTAAAAGGGTGAGCCTGAAGGACACATACCAACTTGTGGCAGAGCCTTAAGAAACTAACTATATATAATACATGTATAACTAT